ATACAGCGGGCGTCAGGGTCGGGATCGAACCCACGACCTCATGTACACCGGCGTACCCGTGGATCGGTGTACGATGGGGCAGAACCCTCGACGGGCGCTCTGTCGCTTCCGCGTGACAAGCTGACGCTTCGCTTGTGTTGAAATCGCACCTGCCACGTACACTAGACATCTGTCGGCTTCGTGAAGACACGTGAACACACACACAGTCACAAACACACTGTCACTCACACACTGTCACACACACACTGTCACACACACACACACACTGTCACACACACACAGTCACACACTACAAAGACAAAGATCCCCCGTATAGTTTTAGCAGACTGTTGGGGCAAGTGCTGTTAGCGAGCACCTATGAAGGCCGGCACGGCACACGAGGGAGTGGGTGGCCAGCACCACGCCCGCCGCCTTTGTCTCCCCAGTGGCGATGTTTACTCACCGCACCAGGTACTAATTTGAGGCTGAGTCGACCTAGCGGAGGCTCCATGACCGGTTAGGATAATCGTCATTGGTGTTGGCCGTGAGCGGGAATCGAACCACGGGTAGCCGGGCTCGCAGCGCATCATGCTAGCGAATAAGGGAAGAGAGCGAGTAAAATGAAGAAATAATCTTTTTACGTATTTTCGGTGTCAATTTTTTTTTCTTTCTCAGCGGTGCAACGGAGGAACGAGGGAATCCTGAGCTACAAATGTCGAGCGTGAAGAGGAGGAGGTAGCTCGGCGGCGTGGGGTCGAGACACTTCGGCGGGACACTGAGACGAGCAGACATCTGAACTGGAGGCGTAAAGATTCAACCCCCGCCCCCCCCCCCCCCCATGTTGTACACGGACCGGACAGCTTGTCAAAAACAAGAGAGGGACAGACAGACGTGTTTATGCCCTGCCTTCTAAAGTCACCACTGCATTGCCCCCGTGGGCAACGTCATAGCTCGGTTGTCATGGTTCCTGCGTGTGGAACAAAAACTCCAATGCCCCCTCCTTCTGTTCAACTGACACCCAGGGGCCCTGACAGGTGAGGGGGCAGCAGTGGCGAGATGTTGACTACCTCCCTCGCCGGGTATGAAGGAGGATCGTGGAGTCGATCCCGACCCTGACGTCTGCTGTAAATTTGGAGTTTGCGGTGTCTCTCTCTCTCCGTGATCGCGTTTTTTTTTCTTTCTCCGGGTCCTCCGGTTTTTTTCGCCGCATTTAGAAACGTGCGTTTTATGGTATTTGGTTGCGAGAAATGTCCACGTGATAAGCCTCGTCGTTGAAAAATGATTTGCGGCCAGGTCGCTTCTGGAAACGACCTATATATCTGAGTGGGACTTTCCTGTTAAGATGAAAATATTAAATAAAA